AATCTAGCTGTCCAACTGTCAATCCATCCATCCATCCATCCGGACATCTGAAAAGTCATCCAGTGTAACATATAAAAAGTAATAAAAGACTGTCTCTGATAACGTAATGACATTTATAATGCTAGCAGTTGCAGTCCTGGATAAGGTTAATAGTGGAAATGAGGTAAGGTAATATTTTACCATTTGTAAGGGTGTACACAAAGTGTAGAAAGAAGTTAAAATACAACACAAAGTCCAAGCAAGTTCCAGTTAAAGGATAACACAGATAACATAGAAATCAAGAAAATACTTGACTTTTGTGAACAAGTGGTGGCAAGTACAGCAGCGAGCTAGTTGACGGCTGAGCTAACTAGCGGGTTTGTGTTAGCAGTTGACACAACTGACGAGACTTTACTGCCTTGTCATGAAGTGTTGCAAAAAAAAAAAAAAAAGTCAAACATCTAAACTGCAAAACACACAAAATTAATGCTTTGAGCCTGCTTGAAAGGATCTCCAGCGTTCTCGTTTGGGTGATTTGAACAACTGATTTTACTGCTAAGTAGCATTGGCAGCTAGAGCTAACAGCTAACGTAAATCACAAAATAGCCTTTCCGGTAGAGATTAGGACACACACACACACACACACACACACACACACACACACACACACACACACACACACACACACACACACACACACACACACACACACACACACGCACACAAGCCTGGACTTGAACGTCTCAGTGTCATAAATGCCAAAGAACAACCTCAACACAGCATTACGGCTTTGATTAGGCCCTCTCATGAGTTCTCATGAGAAAATCTAGACAGTGTAATGGCATGTGAGTGAGTAGTTAGCTAACTATCAGCCTGGTAGCAGAATGGAATTTTGTATCTTGCCCCGTCCTTAATTCCGAATGAGCTACCATTCCACCTCATCCATTGCTAAGCTAATCGAACACGTGCGGTTTCTAAAGCACAATGGCAGCCTTTAACACTGTTGCGAGTTGGGCTTTAACCCTCGTAGACATTCTAATTTAATAAGCAAGCAGAGCAGGCAGCGCGTGGGTGTTTGTATAAAAGTAAAACCTCGGCGGGCAGCGCCACGAGCCGACACGACAAAAGGTTGGCAACTCAACGATGAAAAGGTGGCTACGGGCTACTTTTTGGACACTAATTTAAAAAGTTAATTGGCTGGGTGACAGCGGGATATAAGGCAGCACGACAGGGGGGTGGGCAATGGAGGAAGCCTTGCCTGGCAGCTTTTAAAGTGCAACGGCGCTTGCTGCACAGAGGCATGCTGGGAGAGGAAAGGCTGCAGGAGGTATGGGAAGAAGATATACTGAGGCTTAACCAGAATCTCATCTTTATTTTGGCACGTTTTGATAAGAGCTCATAAAAGCATTTGTAACATTACAATTAATAGCTGTGTCTTGATAATGACAGCATCAAATTGAATGCGTCGCTTTGATAAGGAGGCTCAAGAGCACGCCATTCTTCAAAGGTAGAAGCAGACAATTCAGCTTATTAGGCTTGACGTTTGTGTGCCTTCGTGTATAATTTAATGATGCAAAAAACAATTCAGAGATGCATGTCCATAAAAGGGGACATGTTATGAAAAATCAACTTTTTAATTGCTTGTGTAAAATAGCTGACTCTGTCGAGTGCCTCCTGCACCCATCAAGTTTGAAATTTCACAACCAAGTAAAAGTTTTGTTATCTGCCTGTCTCCCCAAAATGTCCGTGACCAAGCTATTCTGAATGTTGACGGATCATGATGTAATAGTGAAGCTAATTTACATAACACGGCAGCCCACTCAAACACTCGCAGTCCATCACTTGACAGCAACGCAAAGATCCGCCACTTTCAAGTGATGTTCGGGCTATACACAAACACTGAGATATCCAAACCAAACGCGAAGCAAAGCTTAATTCTGACAAACGGCACATTCACATATGTTTGCTGACGTTGTTCATGCGGAGGGGGTTCAGGATGGTGGCTGCTTGCACCACATGGACAGATCTATTAATTTAACAAATCAAATGTGGCTCATTGGTGATAAAGCACTCCTCCACCAGTGAAAATTCAGATGATGCCGTTACCTCACCTTTATGAAGGCTTGCTTTTCGGATTAGACATCTGGGAACTCTTTCAAATTGTGGAGAAAAAAACAAAAGCATCGGGTCTCCTGGCAAGAGTGCGTATTTACTCAATTGCTCGCCAAAACAGCACCAGCTACTGAGGCAAGTCAACAGTACAGGTAATATTGTGTATTCTTATTTCAAAATTTGTTCCAAAAGCCCATCTGCAGTTCAGCCAACAAAATCCCCCAAATTATTCTTGTTCACTTTTCTATTATTTTGCCGGCTAGTTCATTCAGGCTCTGGCTCACACGTATGGGGTTAGCTGGTTGGGACCTGGAGGGACACACACACACACACACACACACACACACACACACACACACACACACACACACACACACACACACACACACACACTTGGCTGCAGGAGAACACCAGCTGACAGGTGCTGCCTCTATGAGTGGCTCGCATCCACCCTTTATGTAGTGTGTGTGTGTGTGTGTGTGTGTGTGTGTGTGTGTGTGTGTGTGTGTGTGTGTGCGTGTGTGTGTGTGTGTGTGTGTGTGTGTATTTGTGTGCGCGCGCATGTCCCTCGAAGTCCCAACCAGCCCGCCCCCTCACCTCTCCACCTGCATTTCCTTCCTTTTCTGCCCCACCGTCTGTGACTTTCCCACCATCTTTCTAAAAAAAAAAAAAACAGCCCTGTCTCTCCATCTCACACAGTAAGAGACCGAGATGCACAACAAGAACACACCTGGGCCTGCCATGAATACCAAAATATTGTGAGCCGCTGGCAGCCCAAACTGTTCGGGAGTATTGAGACCATTTCAGCTGAAGGCTTCATCCTTCTCAGTGTGAGTCGCTAAGCGCACGAGCAAATGAGAAGAGCAAATTTTTGATTAAGGGATCTAAGCTCATTAAAACGCAGCATTTATTTATTTTTTTGCCGTGTTTGAAGCGACAATACAATTACCAGTCAGGGAAACATGCATATGTTTTTGTAATTGCATTGCAATGGTCCCAGTTTTTTGTTTTTTTTATACTGTATATACTGCATGTCTAATGACTCTCAAATCAAATTGCGTGGTCGAAACCAACTGTTGTAAAACAGAAATACCGTATTTTCCGCACTAAAAGGTCCACCTAAAAGCCTTCCATTTTCTTAAAAGCTCACATCCGATGTGCCTTGTGTATGGGCATTACGGTAATATTTCGACCCCAAAATGTCTCCTTGCTCGAGACAGGCTGACAACGCAGAGTTCAAACTTAAGGCGATCGGTTGCGCAGTTGAACACGGAAATAGAGCAACGGCAATAGAGTTCAACGTTAACGAGTCAATGTAATAACTTGCTGTTGGTTAAGTGAACCGTGTTGCTGCTTTATTAAATAAGTTTTACTGACATCTGATCGTTCTGTTGGTGTTTTCTTCCATCTAGTGGATACATTGTAGATTGCGTCTTGTAAAGCGATGCGCCCAATGTATGAAAAAAATTACAAAACAGGCCATTCATTGAAGGTGCGCTTCATAATCCAGCGCGCCTTTTAGTGTGGAAAATACGGTATATAAAACAATACATTCTAAATATCATTTTAAAAAGTAAAAACATCGTAACGTGGGAACACACTACACACATTTGACCCTAGTGGCAGGCGTTGAAATTGATTTCAAAATCATCAGGGTTCTTGTCCGAATGGTGGATGACCATAAATTAGTCTGTTCCTCCGTATCACTGAAAACTTTTGAAATTCTGAAATTGTCCTTCAAAATGTTTTTTGTTTTGATAAACAACACTTATTCCAAGGTGGAAACCAGCAGCGAACTGAGGCTCGGCAACCACCCAAATATCCTGATTACAGCATCACATTCAAAGGGTTGAACCTTGAAAGAGTCACGTTTGCAAAAATATGTCGACTGCAAACGTCTCCATCAACGCGGCGGGGCATCCGAACACGTTTGCCGGATGCGGGTGTATCGTGAGAGACGCGGCGGGGGAGTGGCAGCAAAAGAAAAGAGCAGCAGGTGATGTCTGGCGAGGTAAGCGACGCCTTTCACGGCCCCCCCACTGGTTGTCTGATGCGCGCCGCTTACAAAAAAAAACCACACACACACAAAAAAACGGGCTCCTCACGGAAAACACTCGGCTGGCTTCTTTTGATTTGATTTTGGGTTTGAAGTCGAATATGAAAGAAAACCAGCTAAATCTGCAGTAAACAAAATCAAACCTTTTTTTTATTTTTTTTTATTTCACTTGAAGCCTGGGCTGCTATCATCAATGAAAACAATGTTTTTGGCAAGCATCTATGCTGCTGTGAGGTCTCGCTGTGAGAATGAAACAGCACTATGCTTGATATTAAATCCATTTTATGATGCGGGCCGGACAGAAAAAGTACACTTGCTCTGCTGCTAATTGGTAAAAGGCTGGTGGCGCTTGTATAGTTCCAAAATCTTTAAATAAAAAAAAAAAAATTAAAAACGGAATAAAAAGGCATGGCAGCTTACAAGAGAGAAGAAATCAAGGTTTCGTCTTGCCTGTTCATAACTCTAATCAACTCTTTATAAGTGCAGAAAATATTAATAAATCTCTGCCTGAATGCTTCAAAGTTTTTTAAGATTGCGTGGGACAAATATATTTTGGACTAACCCCAGACTTTGCCCAAATTGACCCCAATTGGAAGAAGCTCCAAAAGGGCAAGTGGGAACTGGGGCACAAATATCGTTTTTCTTCATTTTTTTGACAAATTAGAGGTCACATAGTGACCAACTAATCCCAAGATATATGAATACCTTTTTAAATGGAATAGTAAAAGCTTCATTTTATTTCATACTTGACATTTTGCTTTTTTTGGGAGGCCTAGCGGTCAGAGGGACAGCAATACACACACACACACACACACGCACACACACAGGCAGGCAGGCAGGGAGATTGACTCACCCAAACCAGGCGGGGTTTCAGGACATGGCGGCAGGGACTTAGGCGAAGGCGTCCGATTGGAAAGGGGCTGAACGGTGGGCCCCACCTGCTCGCCCGTGGCCAGGTAACTAGCCGCAGTGGCGTTGAGCCTGGAGATGTTGTAAAAGTAAAAATGATGTCCGCTGCCATTGTTCCGGGAGCCGTTGCGGCCGTTGTTGAAGCGGCTGAACAGGTCGAAGCGCTGCGAGTAGACGTCGAAGTAGAGGATCATCATGATGAGGAAGTGGAGCAGGCAGAGGAACAGGACGCCCTTGCAGATGCGCTCCAGAGTTCGGCCCAACATCAGCCGGGTCATGGCCGAGGACGACGAGCGGCGGGCGACCGCCGGCCACGACGAAGATGGCGTGGCGCGGCTGCAATCATGCGCTCATCGCGACAGCCTCGTAGTCGATATCCCAATGTAGTAAAACACTAAAGCGCATGCAGTTCGCCACAAACTGTTCTCTCTGCATTGGTCATGGGCTCTCTGGGAGGGACAGAAGGGCTCCAATGATATTTCGAGCTTCCATTTTGGTCCCGATGCTTCCCCGCATGACCGCGGATCTAAAACTTCATCAGAATTGATCCGAGACGGACTTCAACCCGGAGAGCGCTCAGATAATGATAATGAGCGTTAGCTCAGATCTAAGGCAATGTGATATGTGCTCATGCTCCAACGGCAGCCGGCGGGCGGCCAATCAGGTGAATCAAAACATCGTCACAGGCTCCCGACAAAAAGTCATCCTGTTCGTGACGGATGCCGTCTGGGATCTTGGTGACATGGACCTCCTGAATGGTGGTCTCAGGCACCTGAGCGGGGGAACAAAAGTACAATGACGTCAAATCACACTGAAAGACAATCTCACTTGCTTTTGAATGCAAATCAGAGACCTTGTGATACTGACCGACCGCATCAGTCGGAATGAAACGATAAACCTAACAGTCTCCTGTATTTACTTGGAAAAACGGCAGGAAAATGGACCAAGCGCAGCATAGTGGCGGCTGTGTAGCATAATATTACAGCACTGCAGCCTCCGGTATACCCAAACATCAAGCAACGATCACAGATATGGGTTGTTCTCAGGAAGTCCAGTCCAGCCAGATGCTTAAACGCTGACCCACTTTGGGTGAGTATTTGTTTCCCTTTGCAAGCAATCACTTGATTTCACTGCTTACAATATCACAAACACACTGCAGATAAAATAAGACACTTTTTTGACATTTGTGCTGTCGTTTGTGGGTGAATGTGTTTTGCGACCACTTCCTCTTTGTGGCATGGTGACGCACCCGTGTTTTTGAAATGTGTCCGTTTCAGAAACAGTAGTTACCAATAAACTGGAAGAATACCAAGGCAGGCGGCACGGTGGTCCAGTGGTTAGGGCGTCGACCTCACAGTGCAGAGGTACCGGGTTCAATTCTAGCTCCGGCCTCCCTTTGTGTAGTTTGCATGTTCTCCCCGGGCCTACGTGGGTTTTGTCCGGGTACTCCGGTTTCCTCCCACATTCTAAAAACATGCATGGCAGGCTGATTGAACACTCTGAATAGTCCCTAGGTGTGAGTGTGAGCCTTGTGAGGATAAAGCGGATCAGAAAATGGATGGATGGATGAAAATCAAGGCAAGGCGATGCCGTTTTATCGAGTCCAACATTATCCATAATGTGACAACACAAAAAAAAATACGTTCTTTTCTGGATTTGAAAGGCGCGCAATTCAGCTGCAGGCATTTCGTATTTTGCGAAGAGAACCGCAAATAATTTGTGGCGGCCAAGTGAACGCGAAACGCGATGGGCATTGTTCACAATTGGTCATTTGTATCACATTTAAGGCTCTCATAGCACACTCCTGTTAAAAGACTGGACCCGTTTTATACCGGATTAATATCGGTGCTTGTATTTGGGTAAAAGCAATTAAAAATCCCTGAAAGACACTTTCCTAAGTGTCCTCCTCCACATCCAGAATCTAATTTGCTCCACATAAAGCTCATCTTTACAAAGTGTCGACTGCCCATTCATTACTCTTTCAGCAAGCCATCTTGCAGACAAAAAAAGGTCAGTGGAAGTGATTCCTCTTCGACAAAACAAGAATCTTGAGAACAATGGTATCCCCGCAGTTGTTGACGTGTAAGGTAAAAAAAAAATAATAATAAAAAACGAGCTTGTTTCTTATTCCAAACTCCGCACTGCTGCGTTGTTTGTCTCGCAGCGGGAGAAACGTCGTCATTAAAAACTTGGTCGAGGAGCAGAGGAATGAGGTCGTTAAATATACGACAGTGAAAATGGCTTCGCCAGAGGTCCTCGTGATGAAGAAGCCCCTTTGTGTCATCATTTATCGCATAGAAGTGAGGTTAGAGATGCAAAAAAAAAAAAACAAAAAAAAAAACAGTCACCCGTTTCATTCGCAAATGTGACTGAATATTTCTCAGTCATTTATGTTCCGAAGGGACAACTGAAGATAGAAAACGCAGCGATGTGTTTTTTTTTCTCCCAGCCCCTTGTAGTTGTTGGCATTTCGCTTTGTTCCCCGCAAGAGTTGTATTACAATGCTTGTACAAAACCCAGAAAATGGTCAGCGGAGAATCGCAAGGAGAGAATTCTTTTGACTTATATTAACTCTCTGTTGCGGCTGTAAATAAGAAAAAGGAAGCGCAGGTAAAAACCCAAATCTGAAATCACTTCTATTTATAGATATGCTGGATATAGATTTCTAGTATGTCTGCCTTGCACTTCTGAGGTACTGGGCTTGAGTCTCGGGCTCGGCTTTTCTCTTTGTGGGTTTTGAGCTATTATCTTGGAACCCACCCAAAAAAAAAAAAAAAAAAAAAGATCTTAGCTCACCTAACCCTGGTGTTTTGTTAAACTTAATCTTCGAGGGGCTTAATGGTAGAGACAAGGGCGGAATTCATAGTGAAATGCCCGTGAGTCAAATTATCCTTCACAGAACAAAAGATCCTTTTTTTTTTTAAGTCCCCACATACGTTTTTAAATTAATCTCCACGTTAATACATCCATCTGGATCTTAACCTTGAGGCAATGTCAAACACAATTATGTTGGACATTAAAATGTTCCCACCATTTGGATACTGTGCTTAGCCACTGAAGAGAGGTGCAACGTAGTTAGCGTAGCTTACTGTAAAAATGGGAATTAAAAATAAATATATATACATAACAACGTGCTGTTAAAAATGTGTTTCTTCTTTATGTCTGTGAAGATTCTTATTGATCCAGGTCATAACAATGCGGCACGGTTGAATCGTGGCAACTCGACTCTTCTTTTTTTTTAATTGTTTTTGTTCTGGTTTTCTCAAAAGAAAAATGCTATTTTGCTATTCGGTGAGCATAACCGGGCCAGGACAAATCTCACAAATAAATATGATGTCATTGCTTTTTTTTTTTCCTTGTGAAAAATTCTTCATTAACATGGGTTAAACCACTGAAGATGCAACATCTTGCTTGCGAGGGGTCCCGCTTCTTGAATATTTAATTTTCAATATTTTATCTATTCAGATTGAATCAACAACAATTGATCTTTTCGCCACACTGCGCACATTTTTTTGTGTGTCAGCTAAAATCCTTCCATCAGGAATGGCTTGAAAAAAAAAATTGTTCAATATTCAGTTACATTTTACACTGAAAAAAAAAAGAAAAAACCCAACAACAACATGCAAATAACGAATTACACAGGGCTTAAATAATAAAGGAAAAGAACACTAAATGTGAAATAATCAATGCAACGGTCAGCACCCGCAGATTTGCATATTGGATTTTTTTTCAATATTTTTTCAACATTTTTTCCTTTTCTTATTTTGGGGGATTTTCTTCCCCATGACCTCCCATTTGCTGAAAAATCTATATTGGATGCTGATCAGTATTTTTTCTGAAGAAGGTGGGGTATTCATAACACCCCCATAAGCCCCTCCCCCTCTTTCAAATGCAATGTAACGGCAATGAATTAAAGACAAATTTTTGCTATTCGTCCCTTTGCCCCGCAAACGGTGGGGGCCATCCGGGCAGCTCTTGAATTGGCTCCCATTATATGTCCCAAAATAAGTGCCCTATAAATATATTAGCCACGTTAGCTCATGTGTTTAACCATGATTGAACCAATGTGAAGCCAAAGTGCCTTTTCTTTTTTTTTTTTTTTTTTTTTAACAACGCACAGTCACGAAGAAGTGTAGGAAAAAAGATGGCCTCTTGAGTGTTCAACTTTATCTCCCTATATGCAGCTGCGGTATTTACATTTAAATAACTCGGCAGGGCGCCGCCGTGACGTTGGCGCTGACACCGTTGCGACGGCAACTCTCGACGGCGCGTATTCTCTAAAACCTAAGTGCAATGTTATGTCTAAGTAGAGGCGCGGCGCGGCGGATCTCGGAAGGCGAAAAAGGCTTACGTGATGGAGCGTGTATCTACGCCGCGTATGTGTGCGTGGAGGCCCGTGCGCGTGAATCAAATCAGTCGAGTGCAGTCGCTCGGGTCAAAGCTTTAAATTGGAGAGTTTAATTCAAGCTGAAGGCGCGTCGGAAGGAAAATGTTTCATGCGCTTCTCCTCATCGTTTCTGCTCTTGTCACATAAATGTAATAGATGGCTCACGCGCAGCTGCGATATTTTAACCCAAGTCTACACGCACACGCGCACACACACACACACACACACACACACACACACACACACACACACACACACACACTTGTGATCACTAGTAAAAATATAAAAATTATCAAGTAAAGAGCTGGAAGGACACATCCTATTAATTATTTCACATTCACAGTCTATGTCGACCTACTCATGAATTATCTACATATATGTAAGCATGCAAGGCATACTTGTTATGTAAAATTGACTTGTTTAATGGCTTGCCAATAAATCTCAACTGCGAATGAGCCCTTGTGAATCTTGTGAAGCAACAGTGGGGCTAATTTACATAATCCCACGACTACATAGAGCTTCTCCAACCATTACTTGGGAGATCCATCCTTTCTTATTGGATGACCGGAGATTGCTCTACTTCACGTCAGAGCCAAAAGGTAAGCAGAGCTGCAGCGTTAGCATAGATCACCACTATAGCACTTGGTACGAGTGTGCTCACTGACAAATGTCATCTGCATCATTCTTCGTGAGCAGCTCTACAATTGAAAAAAATGCGCAGGTAATCCACGTGATCGGTATTCGAGTCGGTCTGGGATGATTTCACTCATGGATGATTGGTACCGGAATTGGCAGCATGAAACCCTCGATTGGAAGACCCCTAAAGGAAACTTAAAACATTTTCTTGCAAATTTGTCAAAGACATAGCTCAACAAAACAACACGAACACATAACATTGCACGCACACATCCGTGACAGGAAGAAAAGCATTCTAGACTGTAGAAGTGAAGCCAATTGACCAAATAGTCTTCATTCCACCGACACTCTCTGCCAGGAAACCAGAGCCTGTTTCCAGTGTGGAGCCACCATAAAACTAGCAGCACCTGTAAAACATCTGTATCTTTTGAAATTTTAATTGGGCTGCAGACATAGCAGTGGACAGACTGCTCATTTGTGCCGGTGCATAATTCATCATGTTGGTCAAACATATGCTGGGGAGACAAAATAAAGAATTTGTTCTGGAAAGTCACAATATGTGCCCTGGTACATTGGGATCGGGGGCCTCAATAAAAACAATATTTGGTCATAAATATTGAGCGCATGAAATATTTAAGATGGGCGGACCGACTTGATTTGGACATTATCGGAACAAATCCACTCTTAACACACCACAGACCGAAAGCTAATCTTATAGGACAATCTTAGAAGACATCAGATAGTCGAGC